CAAATAAAAAAATAAAATCTTTAAAAAAAAAAAAAAGAAGATAAAAGGAAGAGGAGTTCTTAGCTCAGGGCAGAGCATTTTTAGCACGTATTTTTAAAAATCAGTTATAGTGTACTTGATTTTAAACAACCACTAATAAAACCTTTCCTGTTTTTTATTTTTTTAAGAGACCAAATGATCATACTACGCCAAAAATAGTGAGGGCTTAGTATATTTTAACTTATCAAAGAAAGGCCAAGAATGTGAGGTCAGGAAGTAAGTTACTGAGTTTCTTTGGGGAAGGAAAAAGTTAGGAACAAGATGGAGAAGTAAAATGTGGTCCAAGTCACACAGGAGATTAGCTTCAGTTGAAAAAAAAAATTACTATATCTACACTGGTTTTCAAAGAAAATGTAATTCAGCTAGGTGATGAGTAATGAGTGTGAAGATGCAGAAAGACACAGGTCAAGAAACCGATTGCTGGATGATTCTCCCTCAATGAGATGACCTATGAGAATAAAAGAAAACCAAACATACGTAGACTAGCACTTTCTAAGCTGTACATACAAGATACCGGTTCTGTAGTTAGTAAGTAGGTAGTGTGCATGGGGTGGAGAGAGGAGATTTTATGGTCTAAAAGTTTTTGCAACACTACACGTTATATCCACTAGATGTATCAGAGTCATAATGCACACTAGCATATTAAGGGCTCTGAAAAGGTCTGCAAGTAAACAAATACATGTATTTGATACAAATACATTTTCCAAATGTATGTGTCCATAGGGAATCACCTCCCCTGTTTTTATGTCTCCAGAGAACACTTATGCATGGAATAGTTTGGGAAATGCTAGTCTAGGGCTATTACTCCTAAACTTTCAACTCATTCTAACAGAAATGAGAATAAGGTTTGTAAAAGAGGCTCGGTAATCACATTTCTTACATCACAGAACCCTAGGTCAGAGACAGGGAGATTACCAAGGATGCTTGAGACATTTTCTAAAAGGCAGCCAAATACCAAAGCTACAACTTTTTAAAGATCCTTACCCAATAAATAATCCCCAGATAGGTCTAATATCAATTCTGAATACATTCCTGAGCTACCCCCAACACAGAAAAGAAACAGTGGGGGAAAGCCCCAGAAAAGCTGATCATAGGGAAAATGGGTAAGGGATTCCTGTTTGGTGAAGCCTACTGGCTTCCGGTGTTTGGGGATATTCTAATGTCATACATTAGGGAAATTCATAGGGAGAGTTGCCAGGACCTCCAGCTGGGAACATATGGGAGGATTCCTACATTTCTATGTGCTGCCCTCAGCATCCTCAGGATAAAAGACAGAATCTAAGCTTGAAGAAGAGTATCATGCTGACCTGAAAGAGAGGTATCTGTGAGAGATCAAAGAGATTTGTTTTGTTAATTAGATTTCTAATTCCCATAAACTTTGCTATACTCCATAGGCTAGGATTACAGTTTCCTACCCTTCTCTACACAAACCTGTGGCAGAAAGAAGATTGGCTGTCTAATGATTGAAATCATTTGACCTTGTATCAGATGGTGGTCTGCTTGATTGACAAATAAGAAAATAAAAGGCCCCTCACCAAACCCCACCACCCACACTGCCAGATGCTCCTGAGTTCCCTTTTAGAATGCAAATATCCTATGAAGAAAATATATTAATAACATGTTAAGTCATACTAAGCTATTAATGACTGTGAGCGTCTTTTAAAACTATAAAGCCTGGGGGGCCTGGGTGGTTCAATTGGTTAAGTGTCTGCCTTCAGCTCAGGTCACCATCTCAGGGTCTTGGAATTGAGCCCTGCATTGGGCTCCCTGCTCAGCTCTCTGCTTCTCCCTCTCCTTCTGCCCCATCACCCCGACTCGTGCGCATGCACTCTCAAATAAATAAAATCTTAAAAAAAAAAAAAAAACTATAAAGCTAATACCAATGTATGGAATTTTTACTTCTAGACTGAAAAAAAAAAAAAAGGGAGAGGAAGAGAGCAAAGAAGATCCTGGAAAAATGGGTGAAAGACCCATAGAGGCATAGGCAGAAGAGTGTGGAAAACAAAGGGCCTCCACGTGTCTATGGTTTTGCCTAGGTTTGGATCAGGTAATAAGGGCAGAACAAAAGGCTAGGGCTCAAATTCATGCCAAAATGCAAGCAATGTACTCATATACATAAAGTAATCAGAGAACAGCTGAGGAGGCAACCCACAAGAAAATGAAAGACAAAAAACTAAAGGGATACTAACTATTGGTTAAAATCTATGAGGAACGGGTAGAGAGAGTAAGATAGATAGGAACAGTTTTTATAAACAGTAATAACAGTATTGAAAGGCAAATAAATCTGGAAAACAATTTACTGAGAAAAATGAAACTGAAGAACATTTTCCTAGGCACAGTAGTTGCCTAAAGCCACTGTTCAAAGAATAGGAAAACCGGGCACCTGGGTGGCTCAGTTGGTTAAGCGACTGCCTTCGGCTCAGGTCATGATCCTGGAGTCCCTGGATCGAGTCCCGCAATGGGTTCCTTGCTTGGCAGGGAGTCTGCTTCTCCCTCTGACCCTAACCCCTCTCATGTGCTCTCTCTCATTCTCGCTCTCTCAAATAAATAAAATCTTAAAAAAAAAAAAAAAAAAAGAATAGGAAAGCCATATTGTTAGGTAAAACTCTTCGTGCTCCAAGGATAGACTTTCCCATTTTGGATTTCTGCTGGTCTGAGTGTAAACATAAGGCTCTAAATTTCAGAGTTCTCCAATTAAGCTAAAGTCCTTCAGCTCCCTCTGCTGTTCAAAAATGAACTCTAGTTATGTCAGTTCAATCTTCAGTGATCAAAATAAATAAAAATACATACCTACATATGTGCATACGCATTCACTCTCTCTCACACACATAACCCAAATATGGCACAGTCCAGGCAATCAGAATTCAAACATACTAGCCTATCATGAATTGTCTCGCCTGGACCAAATGTTCCAAAATAATAACAAATCTTATTATTCCCACCACCTAACTGAAATAATTTAAGGGATAATGGAGGGTTCCTTTACCAAAAGCAGCAACGTTTTATGAAAGGATAAGGACCTTGTACTCATTAGCCTGATTGGGGCAACAGCTTGTCATGCAGAAATGTACATGTATCACAAACCAAAACATCACTGGTTTTTCTGTTTCTGCCCAGTATTTCCCTATGAAAAGATTATCCTCATATGTCTAAATTCAGTTGCTAACACCTTACTATCTCCATGATATTCTGTGTTGAAGGATCTACAAGTCAACTATGGTAGCAAACCAAGCATGTGTCCAAGAGAATTATTCCTTACTCACCTGATCCTTAAACTGCTTCTGGGACAAGCAGTCAATGAGGTCCACACAGCCCAGAAGACAACCTGATGGATAGTCATTGGGAAATTCCACATCTGAATCAAGAATAACAGAAGGATCATATAAATTTCCTTTTTTGTAACCCTGAAACTCACGAATCTGTTTCCAATTCTGAACAAATCACTTTCTCTATTATCTATTTGTAGACACAGAAAAACAATGATGTTTTTTATTTAACACAACTGTTTGAATTTTAGCAAAAAATTTAGTGAGTGGCTGGCTTAGTCCACTATCCACATCCTAAGCTATAAAAAAATTACCCTTACACCATCAAAGTTCAAGGACCCTACAACTTCAAACAAATCAATTCCACCTATACTCAACTGGATTAGCCTTGAATTTGGTGGTGATGGGTTTTGGAAACAAGCTACAGGTGTGAAGAGAAAAACCAAAAAAATATAGTAAAAAAATATAAGAATGACAGACCATAGGGAGTTAGAAAAAAAAAAAAAGACAACACAAATTTAAAACAAGCCAGTCATATCAGTCAAAACAAAAATGTGCTTTTAAGGAAACATGCACTTTTGATTCCTAAAACTTTGGTTTCCTAAAAACTTTTAAAGGCAGTTCTGTAATTATCCTCTCATTCTACCTTCAAAACAACTGTATGAGTTAGATAAGAGGAAGAAAAACGAAACACCTAAGGGTCAGAAGTGGTTTTTTGGATCCAAACTTTATGTGCTTGGGATGATTCCCAAAATACACTGCTTAAGTCAACCAACTCTGACCTGTCAAAATCTCACAGCAGATGTCTATTTGGGTCACTCCCTCCAAAAAATTCTTACTGTGGTTGTTCTTCCCAATCTAAAGATCCCAAAGTTTATAGTAGTCATGTTGCTCTCACAATTTAGGGAAGGAAGGAAGGAAGGAAGGAAGGAAGGAAGAAAATTTCCTCAGATGAAATTAAAACTGGCTCAAGTCGGATAAGCATCCGACTCTTTATCTCAGGTCTTGATATCAGGGTCGTGAGTTCAAGCCCCACACTGGGCTCCATGCTGGGTATGGAGCCTACTTAAAAAAAAAAAAAAAAAGAAATTAAAACTAGTTGGTCGATTTCTGGTGTTGGGAACTGATATTTTTATTTTCATTGGTTGATGAATCAATGCTTTGAACAGCTGTCTATGATCTGCTACTAAACAAACATACACAAAGATGAAAGTCCCTCTCATACCAGTCACACCCCCCAGAAAAAAGAAAGTCCTAGGAAGAAGGAAATGAAAGAAGATGAACATCAACAACAATGAATTCTCTCCATCAAATAATATTGAAAGGAGAATATATGGCTGTTACCTTTCCCACGAAGAACACGATATGTAGTCTGGAGTTCTGAGACTTCTTGAGGGGAGGGTCTTTTGGCTGTGGCTGCTATCCAAAGTCGTCCTCTGTGAGGAGTGTACCAGCTTCTGCCCTCCACCCTTAAAACAATTACAGATTTAGTAGGAAGGATCCAAATTCTCGTATCCCAGAGGATCTAATTTAATACAGCAAATCATCCAGTTAAACCAAGAGATCTACAGAAGGTATCTCACAAAGAGGGGTATTTTGTGTGAAAGACATACAATACCCTTCACTGGAGTATGAACTCTGTTCTCTAGCTTTTCCTAACATCAGAACAAAGACAATTCTGGCACCTGAGTGGCTCAGACAGTTTAGTGTCTGTCTTCGGCCCAGGTCATGATCCCAGGGTTCTGGGATCAAGTCCCCCATCGGGCTCCTTGCTCAGCGGGGAGTCTGCTTCTCACTCTGCCTCTGCTCCCCCTGCTTGTGCACCCAAATCTTACATTTTTTTTTTTTAAGAGATTTTATTTATTTGAGAGTGAGCAAGTGAGAGAGAAGAGAGAACATAAGTGGGGGGAGGGGCAGAGGGAGAGGGAGAAGCAGACTCCCTGCTGAGCAGGGGGCCCGGATGATGCATGGGTGGGGGGGGCCCTCAACCCTGGGACTCCAGGATCATGACCTGAGCCGAAGGCAGATGCTTAACCTACTGAGCCACCCAGGTGCCCCCAAATCTTACATTTTCTTTTTTCTTTTTTTTAAAGATTTTATTTTATTTATTTGAGACAGAGAGAGAGAGAGAGCACAAGAGGGGGTAGGGTGAGAGGGAGAAGTAGACTCACCGCCGAGAGGGGAGCCCGATGCGGGACTCGATCCCAGGACTCCAGGATCATGACCTGAGCTGAAGGCAGTCGCTCAACCAACTGAGCCACCCAGGAGCCCCCCAAATCTTACATTTTCAAGGCATCTAAGTTGTTCCACAAAAAAGGAAATCCTTGCTCTTCTTTGAGTCAAAGGCTAACCTTTTCTTGGAAGCTTTGTAATTGTTCTCTAACCTAACAGAAAAATCCTCACCAACACACAAATCTCTAAGAATAGTACTTTTATGATTATTACTTAATAGAATTTAAGTAAATGAAAATACTTATCATCTTCACTCTTTAAACTGTAGCCACATTCATTTATATTTTCTAAGTATTCTATAAAGGATTATGTTCTTTGTAGGTAATTAAACAACTTGACTAGTTTGAAAGAATCTTTAAGTGGAATAACAATGCATCCAAGAGAATTTAGTTACTCTCCAAGGATTACAAAAAGATGTTCCTGGGGGAGGTGGAATTGGGCAAAATGAGTGAAGGAGAGCGGGAGGTACAGGATTCCAGTTATGGAATGAGTAAATCACGGGAATAAAAAGCAGAGCATAAGGAATACAATGATATTGTAGTAGCAATGTAATGGGACACAGGGTAGTTATACTTGTGGTGAACAAAGCACAATGTATAAACTTGTCAAATCACTAAGCTGTATACCTGAAACAACTATTAACACTGTGTGTCAACTATACTCAAATAAAAAATAAAAGAAAAAGAAAAAAATGATGTTCCTCTTTTAGTTCCCAACCAAATGAAATAAGTACCTTGATCATACTCCTATTACACTATTCTTATAATGGAAAACAGGGAATTTCTCATATCCTTCATTTTCCAATACAGATGAATTGAAAGAGTGCCAGGCACATAATAGGTGATCAATAAATGAAGAATGAATCATTAGCTTTCTTCTCTCCATACCAAATAACCTGAAGGGTTACTGAGAAAACAGTCTCACAAATGTGGCAGAACCGCTCATTTTACTTCTGTGGGATTAGTTATTGTGGGCTGGATGCTGCTCATCTGTTCTTTTCAGTAACAAAATCTGAATAACACAGATCCAAAATAGGATGAGAGAAATGTAAACATTCTGATTCTCTCAGCAGAAGGCAAGCTGTTTAGTTTTCTACTTTGGAAGATGGAAAAGATAACCAAATTGTAGAAAACTGAATGAGAAAAACAGGTATCTAAGGGCCCAGCTGCCCTGAAGCAGAAGCAGATTCACATGCATTTGTACTAATGGCACTACACATATGAACTATAAAACAATTACAAGCCAAAGCAAGAAGGCCTGACCTTCAAGAGGGGAGAAAAACAGTAATGCATCTTAATGAAGGAGGGAAATCACAGCTAATAATGAAAACACCACAGTAGAAATGATTCATCCTAAATGCCAATAAAAAATTTTCTTTCAGAAGAAAAATGACTGAAGCTTATACAGTAAGAATGGAAAAAACACTTTGAAAACTTGAACTCTAGTTCCATCTCTGCTACAAACTAGCTCTGTAATTCAGAGAATGCTACTTTACCTTTGCTTACCTAAGTGTCTTCATTTGTGCAAGACTGTAATAATACTGGCCTAATCTATTTCATAGAGCTACTACTTTTAAAACTGTAAAAATCTATTTAAATATAAGGTATTATTACTGTTAGGACACTGCCTAGGCATAGCAAATTCTTTTTTTTTTTTTTAAAGATTTTATTTATTTATTTGAGAGAGAGAGAGAGCACATGAGAGGGGGGAGGGTCAGAGGGAGAAGCAGACCCCCTGCTGAGCAAGGAGCCCGATGCGGGACTCGATCCCGGGACTCCAGGATCATGACCTGAGCTGAAGGCAGTCGCTTAACCAACTGAGCCACCCAGGCGCCCCTAGGCATAGTAAATTCTAATAGACAAAATAGAAAGGGAAAAAAAAGATGTCGGGGCTCCTGGGTGGCTCAGTCATTAAGCATCTGCCCTCAGCTCAGGTCATGATCCCAGGGTTCTGGGATCGAGCCCCGCGTCGGGCTCCCTGCTTGGCGGGATGCCTGCTTCTCCCGCTCCCTCTCCCCCTGCTTGTGTTCCTGTTCTCACTCTCTCTCTCTCTCTGTCAAATAAATAAATAACATCTTTAAAAAAAAAAAGATATCTGCACCCCACCATTCGCTGCAGCATTATTTACAACGGCCAAGACATGGAAACAACCAAATGTCCACTGATGGATGAATGGATAAAGAAAATGTGGTATATATGTGAAATGGAATATTATTCAGCCATAAAAATGAAGGAAATCCAGCCATTTAATTTAAGACATGGATAGACCTTGAGGGCACTGTGCTAAATCAGACAGAAAAAGACAAATACTGTATGATCTCACTTATATGTGGAATCTGAAAAAAAACAAACTCATAGATACAGAGAATAAATTGGTGGTTGCCAGAGGTAAATGGGTGAAGACAGTCAAAACTTTCAGTTATAAGATAAATAAGTCCTGGGGAAGTAATGTACAGCTGGTGACTACAGTTAACAATACTGTACTGTTTAGGGGTGCCTGGGTGGCTCAGTCGGTTAAGCATCTGTCTTTGGCTCAGGTCATGATCCCCAGGTCCTGGGATTAAGCCCCACATCGAGCTCTCTGCTCAGCAGGGAGCCTGCTTCCCCCCCTCCCTCTGCCACTCCCCCTTGCTTGTGCTCTCTCTCTCTCAAATAAATAAATAATAACTAAATAAAATTTTTTAAAAAGTACTGTATTCTATATTCAAAAGCTGCTAAGAAAGTAGATCTTAGAAGTCCTCATGACAGAGGCGCCTGGGTGGCTCAGTGATATACGCGTCTACCTTGGGCTCAGGTCATGATCCCAGGGTCCTGGGATCGAGCTCCAAGCCCTGCTCAGCGGGGATCCTATTTCTCCCTCTCCCCACTCCCCCTGAAATAAATAAAATCTTTTTTTAAAAAGAAGTTCTCATGACAAACAAAATTTTGTAACTATGTGAGGTAATGGATGTTAACTAAACTTACTGAGGCAATTATGTAAAAATATATACTTACCTATCAAATCATTATATTGTACACCTTAAACTAATGTTATATGTTAATTACATTTCAATAAAACTGGGAAAAAAGGAAAAATGAATATGTTGTAATGATAAAGTGAAAGAAGTAAAACAATATATATTATGATCTTACTATATAACAATTTGCACAGGAAAAAAATGTAAGTAAACTCTCTAAAATGCTAACAATAGCTGTTTCTTTTTCTTTCTTTTTTTTAGAAGATTTATTTATTTGACACAGAGAGAGCACAAGCAGGGGGAGTGGCAGGCAGAGGGAGAGGGATAAGCAGGCTCCCCTCTGAGCAGAGAGCCCGACATGGGGACATCGGGCTTGATCCCAGGACCCTGGGATCACGGCTAGAACCAAAGGCAGATGCTCAACTGACTGAGCGACCCAGGCATCCCTAACAGTAGCTGTTTCTAAGTGGTGGGATTATACGTGATCTTTTTCTGTATTTTCCAATTTTCTATTTATATCTATGAAAGCAGAGAAAAACCTATTTTTTATTTTATTTTTTTAAAGATTTTAATTTTAAGTAATCTCTATACCCAATGTGGGCTCAAACTTACAACCCCAAGATCAAGAGTCACATGTTCTACCAAATGAGCCAGCCAGGCACTCCAAAAAAACTGTTTTTTAAAATTGAATTGAGAAGAAAGATGAAACCACAGAATAGTAAGTTCTGACCATTATTAATAGGTACAATGACTCAACTCTATAATACTTCTACTTAACTCTTACTAAATCCCGCACTTTTTGTAGAAAAGGAATTTGTGGTAAAACAGTTTCTCAATATGGTTACTCAGATTAGTAGATAGATATATGATAGAAAAACAAAACCACAGTTGGGCTGATGTATTAAAAAATATTAATAAATAGGTATAAAAACTTTGAATTTCAAATAGGATCAAACCATTAATGTTGCTGAGTGCTATATTACAAAGGCAAAGCCAAGTCTTGTCAAGACTTTCTTCCAGGGATGCCTGGGTGGCTCAGTCGGTTAAGCGTCTGCCTTCAACTTGGGTCACGATCCCAGGGTCCTGGGATCCAGTCCCACATCTGGCTCCTTGCTCAGCAGGGAGCCTGCTTCTCCCTCTGCCTGCCGCTCCCCCTGATTGTGCTCTCTCTCTTCAACAAATAAATAAAATCTTAAAAAAAAAAAAAAGACTTTCTTACAAAGATGAAAAACTGGTCTTCTATTCTTTGTTATGACTAGGATCCTTAGTTTTTCTAACCTCAGTTTTTTTTTTTAAGCTATTCAGTAAAATCACTACTACCAAATCAGTAACATGAATATATTGCTGAAAGTTCTATGTGAAGAGTATTATAAATCATCACTACATTGGGGAAAATTAACTCTATTTCTTTTTTTTAGAGAGAGATAGAAAGACTGGGGAGGGGGATAGAGAATCTTAAGCAGGCTCCATGCCCAGCACAGACCCAACGTGGGGCTCAATCTCATAACCCTGAGATCATGACCTGAGCCGAAATCAAGAGTCAGATGCTTAACCAACAGAGCTACACAGGCACCTCCCCAATTCATAATTCTAAATCAAGTTTATGTCACTGTAAAATCTCCCATTGCCAAGATTCATTTCCATCCTTACCTTTTGATCCCTCTGACAAGCAGAGAAGCCCAGGGCTGATGCATAGAGAGGCACCAGCCACCATCAAAGCCTTCCTGAAATTCTTGGTCCTGGATTCGCAGCTGGTGCCGATAGGAGCTGAATTCTAGTTCCAATCCTGCTGAATGGAAAGTCTTCTTCTGTGAGGCTGCACCTGTCTGGTCTATCCACTACACAAAAAAGAAACCAAAAATACAGTTCTGTCTGACAAGGAAAGAACCTGGGGTAGATATACAAAATGAGATGAATGCTTATAATGAAGAAATCATACTGGGCACAGTTTCCTTAAAGTTTATCCCATCTTTATCTGAAACAAGGCCAAAAAAGGTAGTAGGTATAATTATATTCAGTAGGAGTTGTAGGTATGATAACAAAGTCCCATCTTAAAAGATAATCAAAATGTTGAAATCTCCATATATAGCTTCCTAATTCCAGCAACAATACAACTAGTAGACCAAGTACAAGGTCTGCAATTATTCCCACTTTATATTTATTAATGATCCATACTGGATTCTGGACAATTTCCCAACATAATTCCATCAACAAAGGTTCAACATTTTGGTCCACACATTTTTCATGTGCTTAGGGGCAGAGTCACATGGTGGCATCATGATAAAGCCAAACAGATACCATCCCGGGCAGCAGTTCTACTGGAGGCAATGACGTTTTCTCTTACCCTGAAATGAACTTGTCCCTTAAAAGACAGGATGGAGCACAACTGAAACAAGGCTCCCATCACATAAAGAGAAGAGAGAGGACAGAGGTAACAGAGCAAACTGATTCATCCTGGCAGTAGTTCTGACACAGAATGACAAAGGTTAATGTTTCTTCCAGAACAAGAAGACTGAAGGCTCCAAAATTAAAAAAAAAAAAAAAAAGGCTTTATTAAGATGATAAACTTTGGGGTTAGTTTTCTTAACTTTTGACTTTTTATTTGATAATTTATAGGGGGAAAAAAACTAGAGTGGTAGTTTAGAGACTCAACAATTGTTTAACTTCTAACAGTTTCAGTTTTCTCAACTATAAAATGAGGGGGTTGGACTAAATTAATCTCTAATAATCCTTCTGTAATAAAGTTTTATGATTCTAATCAACTGCATCATATCTTAAAAAAATGAACATTTACTGAATACTTGACTATGTGAAGCACATAAAGTACAAAAAAGATACAGTTCTTTCTCTCAAGGAACTTATAATCCTAGTAGAAGACAAAAATATAAATAGCTATCCAAAACTTAAAGCAGAATAGAATAAATATTACACAGAGATAGAAGTCCTTAACTCTGAATATCCAGAACAGACTCATCCTTTATAGCGGAAATAACTGATTTTGTAAACATGTTCGTGTTTGAACAATTCTGAGGCCCACATTCTCTGTTTTATCTCTACTACAGTTCTAGTTTATATTACCTGTTTCTCTGTTCCCGCAGCCACTTTCCTAAATTAATCTCTTATCTTTCAATATTATTATTATAGACCCTACTAACAGGACTAAATTTTTAGCCTTTACATAACTCTCTGCTACCCTAGTAGTGTTACAACACTAACCTGGGCCCTCATTATCTCCCCACTGCACTACTGCAATAACCTTCTTAGGAATTTCCTTGCTTCCAGTCTTACTCCTCCTTCCAATCCGTTCTCTATACAGGCATGGAAGTCATGCCAATCTTCTGCTAAAATTCTTTAATGACTTCTCTGCCTACTTTGGAATAAAACCAGACTCCTTAGCATGAGACATAAAGGCTTTCATGGTAAGATGCTGACTACTGTACTGGGTTAAGTAGTATCCCCCCTAACATTTATGTCTACCCAGAACTGTGAAAGTGACCTTATTTGGAAATAGTCTTTGTAGATGTAATCAAATTAAGATAAGGTCATGCTAGGTTAGGGTGCACTACAAATCCAATGACTGGTGCCTTTATAAAAGGGAAGAACACATAGAGACAAAAACATACAGAGAATAAGGCCATGTAAAGATGGAGGCAGACATTAGAATGATGCAGCTACAAACCAAGGGATGCCTAGGGCCACCAGAAGCTCAAAGAGGCAAGGAAGCATTCTCCCGTAGAGCCTTCGGAGGGACTGTGTGCCCTGCCAATACCTTGATTTTGGTGTTAGGGAACTGTGAGAGAATAAATTTCTGTTGTTTTAAGCCAACTAATTGTGATACTTTCTTATGGTTACCCTAGGAAACTAATACACCTACTAGTCCATCTTTTTTTTTTTCATCTTAACTTTTAAAAATACTTAGTTACTTCTGGTTCTACCAAATCTACAATGCTCCTAAACTGCTGAGCCTGTGCTACATGTTGTACCTTCTACCTGGAATCCCCTCCCTAGATCTGTCTCATTGGAAATTGTTATTCATCCTTAATTTAAGTCTTCTCTCAAACACCATTTCTTTGGTGACTCCTCTAGTGCATTTACGAACTCTTTCCTGAAGTCCTACTCTATGCACAACATGTGTCTATCATTGCAATTATCCTTTTTTTTAATTGAAGTATAATTAACATATAGTGTTATATGCAACCATCTTTTTTTTTTTTTTTAAAGATTTTATTTATTTATTTGACAGAGAGAGACACAGCGACAGAGGGAACACAAGCAGAGGGAGTGGGGGAGGGAGAAGCAGGCCTCCCGCGGAGCAGAGAGCCCGATGCGGGGCTCGATCCCAGGACCCCGGGATCCTGACCTGAGCCGAAGGCAGACGCTTAACGACTGAGCCACCCAGGCGCCCCTATATGCAACCATCTTAAGGAATTGAAATTATTTGTATCCAAACACATCTTTCTAGGAAATCTGAAGTCCTTAAAGATAGGAGCTGGGCCTTTACACCTTTTAATTTCCTAGCACCTGGCAAAGAACCTGGCATGTATAAAGAGCTGAATGAATATCTCCAGTTAAGCTGTCTAAAGCACTGCTCTGATTGCATCTCTTTGCATAAGAACCCTCTATGGCTCACATTTACTTAGAAAACGAAAATGTGAAAACTTCCTAAACATTTACACTCTTTAGTGATTTGGTTCTACTTACCTAACCTTACTCCATTTCTCAGGATAATCCCTTTGATAAGTACTATCTAAGCAGCTAAATTCATTTTTCCATAAATATACAGGCCATGCTTTCATGTACCCATGCTTTATTCCTACAGTTCATTCTGCTTGGAATGTTTTTTCCCCCACCATCCCCAAATATTCATTTTCTTGGATATTTACTTCTAATGAATATAGCTTCCCTATAAAAGCCTCTTTTATTCTCCTCAACTGGAAGTACTGTTTCCCTCCTCTGGGTTTCCACCATACTTTATTTATATTTCTATTAGTATTAGAGCTGCTTATGTAATCTTTTTCCCTACTAGCCGGTGAGTTTTTTGAGGACAGAAGCAGTATACAGTTTATCACTTACTACTATGCTTGCACATAGCAGATGCTCAATGTACAATGGAAAAATGAATGACAACAATGAATGTATTAATTTAAAACACCATTCCCTGGGACTACCCATTTTCTATAAAAGGTAGAGAAAGAACATTAATGAAAGGACCATGGGATTACTATCTAAATATCTTACTTTTAAAAACCCTCTCTTGGGAAATACTTGGAAGATAATACAGGTCAACTTGTTAGAAGTGCTGGAAAAACTGGAGCCAGAAAATAAGTGGTGGGTGTGTTGAAAGCACAGATTGGTATCTAAAACCTATGAAATAGGCACACTTGAAAGGAGAAATATCTGGGCCCAAACTCCTTATTACCAGTTAGAGCAAAGGTCCACTAACCTGGGGAGGGGACTGGTACAGGTTGGGATTCACCAGAACTCCCAAAGGCTCATCAGAAGATCTATCCAATTTGGTCAGTGGTTGGTTCAAGGTTCCATTGGCAATTGCCTGAATTGTTTCATCTAGTCTGTGATAACAAAACAAAGGATGCAATAATTGATAATGTTATATGCTCAGAATATCCTTACTTACCACAACATAAAATCCTTCAACAATGATAAAATTTGAAATTCAAAGAGGGGTCCATGGATGATCTTCCCTACTCCCCATCACCAACTTCCTTTTCTTCACTCCAAGGACCCTAAGGAATATAAGTTAGTAGAAAGTTCCAGAACACTAAGAAAATAGGTAGGGCAGGACGCCTGGGTTAAGCGTCTTCGACCTGGGTCGTGATCCCAGAGTCCTGGGATCGAGTCCCACATCGGGCTCCTTGCTCAGCAGGGAGCCTGCTTCTCCCTCTCTCTCCCTCTGCTTGTGCTCTATCAAATAAATAAAATCTTAAAAAAAAGAAAATAGGGGAGCCTGGGTGGCTCAGTCATTAAGTGTCTGCCTTCGGCTCGGGTCATGATCTCAGGGTCCTGGGATCGAGCCCCACATTGGGCTCCCTGCTCGGCAGGAAGTCTGCTTCTCCCTCACTCACTCCCCCTGCTTGTGTTCCCTCTCTCACTGTGTCTCTCTCTGTCAAATAAAATAAAATCTTAAAAAAAAAAGTGCTTACTCCTTTCTCTGAAGTCCTATAATACCTACTATTTAAACAGTCACTGAATACATCCCATGTTATCCTGTGCCTATGGTGTTTGTTATTTATTTTGGCTCTAAACTCACAAAAGAATGTGATGTTATTCATTTAAAGACTACAGAACTAATCCTCCTGGTTAGTAAGAGATTATAGGTCCTGCAGGGACCGTATTTTATTCTACTTGATACCTCTACGTTACTTGTTGCTGTACTCCACGTCCCTGCCAGATGCTTGACAAATGTTTGTGGATAATGATAATCATGAGGCACAACATAATGAAAAGCTTTTACCAGTAGGAAAGGCCAACTAAATACAATTTAATTGAATACAATCAAAGAGATATTTGTTAGGAACCTCTGATATGCAAGGCAACTTAAAAGTGTGAAGGAGGGATGCCTAGGTGACTCAGTCGTCAAGCGTCTGCCTTCGGCTCAGGTCGTGATCTCAGGGTCCTGGGATCAAGCCCCGCATCGGGCTCTCTGCTCAGCAGGAAGCCTGCTTCTCCCTCTCCCACTCCCCCTGCTTGTGTTCCCTTTCTTGCTGTGTCTCTCTGTCAAATAAATAAATAAAAACTTTAAAAAAATAAAAAATAGAAAAAAAACAAAAGAGGGGCGCCTGGGTGTCTCAGATGGTTAAGCATTGGACTCTTGATCTCAGCTCGGGTTTTAAATTCAGAGTTGTGAGTTCCAGTCCCACACTGAGGCCAGCATGCCTTAAGAAGAAAAAAGGTGTGGAAGACAAGGTTCTTGCCTTCAAGAAGCTTTGACTCTAAATGGCAGGTTTAAAACAGCTATGAAGATGATGAACAAAACATGGAAGGATTTGGCTATTACTATGATACAGTTATTACAATCATTGCTATTATCATCCCACGTGTTGTACCAAGTAGGTAGATTATTTCAAAGGCAAAGATTGGGGGAGAAATTTCCAAACTCAAGATAATTTTCAAACACAGGCATGAAGCTAAAAGAAAAGAAAAATAAGAATTTCTGAAGGGAGAGGTGAGTCTAAATAAAATAAGGCGGGGGACAGTGGGATCTGAAGGAAGGAAATAGATTTGAGACATAACAAATGGGAAGTATATCTACAACTCTAGAATCTATAAAAGAATACAAATAGCTAATCAACATATTTTTAGAAAGTTCAGAATTACCAGCAAAAAACCAAAGCAAGGAAATGTGAATAAAAATTTTGATGAAATAAACACCATTTTTCATGTGTCAGAAAGGCAAATATTTCCTTAAAATGTTGAGAAAGGGATGAAGAAACTAGCATCTTGCTATCTGGTTATAGTTGACAAGTCAAAAAGTATGCATAGAATAAGATACAGTTTGAGATACTATCCAATTTCACTTCTAAAAAGCTGTACCGTTTTTCATTGAACATAAAAATAATTTTATTATTATAAAGGAAATTCATAACTGGAAAATAAAAATTAATGGGAAAAAAATTAAAAGTTCCTAAACACATCACCCAAAAATAATTTTATTTTTTTCTTTATATCTATGTATCAAGTATGTAATAGGTGAGAACAAATAATTATTTTGAAGTTAGTGGTAGAATTTCTTTTATGGAGAGAATAACCTTTGCTTAGGAAAATTCTATGATGGATTTGCCAGATCTGAAAGAGAAGGCCAAGGATTGGACCTTGTGGCAAGCATTACTATGTTTACCAATATCCAGTTGTGTGTGTGTGTTTGGCGGCGAGGGGGGGCGGGCAGAGAAAGAAAGAGAAAGAGGGGATGAGGGGGGGAGAGAGAGAGAGAAAGAAAGAAAGAGAGAGAAAGAGAGACCAATGCCATTTGCAAAACAGAAAGCAGGGAGTGAGATCCTGTCCTTTCTTTTCACTGCTATGCTGGAGCCAATACCGTATCTCTGAACTCTACATTCAGTGACTTCACGTTTGTAACTTGAAATTGGCCATGATGGAGATTTTTTCATTAAACTTTATTTTTTAGAGCAGTTTTAAGTTCATAGGAAAACAGAAGGCTCACGCATTTCTCATATGCTCCTTGCCCCATACATCCATAGTTTCTTCCATTATCAACCATTTAACATTTGTTAAAATTAATCAACCTACACTGACACATCATTATCACCCAAAATCCATACTTTACATTAGGGTTCACTCTTGACATTGAGGCTGTACCATTTTAATAGTCCCATCCACAGTAGAAGAGCATATCCATTTTCTTACACTCACAGATTATGCAATATTTTATATATATGTATTTTTTATTTCAGCCAATTAAATGGTACATTAGCTTTTAAAATTTGCATTACCCTTTTAACTAGTTGAGCACTTAAAAAAAAATGTCTATAGGCTATTTGTATTTCCTCACCTGTAAATTGTCCTTAACCTTTGCTCATTTTTCTACCGGGCTGTTTGTAGCAGGTCTTTATATAGATATAGATAAATATAAATATTATAAATATATTATTGTATTATTAATATAATATAAAATTATGTAATTATTGTAATATAATATATAATATAAATATATAAATTATAATATATATAATTAATATATAATTATAATTATTATTTAAATATTTAATATTATAATATATATTTATATAAATATTATATAGATATTCTTCTTTTGACTTAAAAATGTTTACAATATTCTCTCAATTTGGTAGTATTTTTTTACTTTACTAAAAATATCTTGGGGTGCCTGGGTGGCTCAGTTGGTTAAGCAGCTGCCTTCGGCTCAGGTCATGATCTCAGGGTCCTGGGATCAAGCCCTACATCGGGTTACCTGCTGAGGGTGAGTCTGCTTCTCCCTCTCCCTCCGCCTCTCCCCCCAGCTTGTGCTCTCTCTCAAATAAATAAATAAAATCTTAAATAAAATAAATAAAATGTCTTGTCTTTTTTATTTCTGGGTTTTGTATCTTGCTTAGAAAGAGCTTTATTACACCAAGATTATACCTATATTCTCCTATATTTCTTTATTTCTTTCTGATCCTTTTATCTCTTCTATATTTCACTATTTAGTCAAACTTATTATCACAGTATGGTTTGAGGTATGTAATCTAGGTAGGTAATCTTTTTTTTTTTTTAAAGATTTTATTTATTTATTTGAGAGAGAGAGAGAGCACATGAGAGGGGGAGGGCCAGAGGGAGAAGCAGACTCCCCGCTGAGCGGGGAGCCCGATGCGGGACTCGATACGGGGACTCCAGGATCATGACCTGAGCCGAAGGCAGTCGCTTAACCAACTGAGCCACCCAGGCGCCCCTAGGTAGGTAATCTAATGTAGATTTTTTCCAAGTTGGTGCCCAATCATCCCAACATATATTTAACCCTTTCCTTACTATTTAGAAATGCTACCTGTTTCAGGAGAGCCTGGGTAGCTCTGTCGATTTTGGCTCAGGTCATGATCTCAGGGTCAGGGGATAGAGCCCCATGTCAGGCTCTGTGAGTGTTCAGCGGGGAGTCTGCTTGAGATTCTCTCCCTCTTCCTGTCCCTCTGCCCCTCCCCCTACTCGCGCACACACGCTCTCTCAAATAAATAAATCTTTTATTAATTTTTTTTAAAGATTTTTTATTTATTTGATAGAGACACAGCGAGAGAGGGAACACAAGCAGGGGGAGTGGGAGAGGGAGAAACAGGCTTCCCGCGGAGTAGGGAGCCCGATGCGGGGCTCGATCCCAGAACCCCGGGATCATGACCTGAGCCGAAGGCAGACACTTAATGACTGAGCCACCCAGGTGCCCCTAAATAAATCTTCAAAAAAAAAAAAGAGAAATGCTACCTGTTTCAATTACTAATTTACACATGTGTATACACAAGCACACACAATGCAGGTTTGTTTCTGGATTTCTTTATATTTCATTGATCTTCTCCCATGCCCAAACTATACCTCATTGTTTTAAAAAGTTTATCAAACTACAGCAATTATCTAGAAGACAAGTTCCCCTCACTGTTCATTTTCAAAATTTTCTTAGCTACTCTTACATATTTCTATTCCAAATGAATATATTTTTAAAATCAACAAAAATAGGGGCACCTGGGTGGCTCAGTCAGTTAAGCGTCTATCTTCAGTTCAGGTCATGGTCCCAGGGTCCTGGGATTGAGCCCCATGTCGGGCTCCTGCTCAGCAGGGGAGTCTGCTTCTCCCTCTCCTTCCGTCCCTCCCCTTGCTCATGCTCTCTCTCTCTTCTCTCAAATAAATAACATCTTTTAAAAAATAAAATAAAATAGAAAATAAACAAAATAACAGATCCGTGACAGGGGGGCAAATCCTTTACAGTCAAACTGTCCCCTCCCAAACCCTTTCTGGTGCTGCCCACTTACTTGCTGTGATACTCTGCTAGTGAATTTTCATCTTCCACGATCTTCCTGCCTGCAAAGTCAATGGTGATTTTCTTAGAGAGCCGAGACATATGTCGAAATTCTCTCAGCTCCTCCTCTCGCTTTTGCAGGGTCTCCCGTTCAATTTTAGACAACCACTGGTTAGAATCACTGGCAAAGTAATCTGACTCATCATCAATGACTTGGGTCCTTCGAATGCTAAGGAGGTAAAAAACAGATCACATGTCAATTGGGTCACTGTTGATAAAACAAGGACTTGATATCCTCAGATTATTACCTTAAATATAGATGCCCGAAAAAGTTCCAAAATCAGGTCAAGTTCTGCTTGGTTCCCAGCTTCTGCATGTATCTTATCCCCACTGCAGTCTCAGTTCAGCTCCTAAAACTAATTTCACTCTCAGGCAGAAAAAGACACAGCAGCATAACCCATTATGCTTCTACCATGTTTTTTTTTTTTTACTAGTCCAGCCATAATTGGGCTTCCACCAGGTTTTGCTGCATCTGAGTTCATGTCTTGGCAGGTTACTCACTATCCTACTCCCTCTACTCCTGGGGCCTAGTCTATTCTTGCTAGGTCCAACTGCTGCCCTTTCCCTTAAAAACTAAGGAGTTCTATCCTGGACTGTTAAAGTCCTCTGGCTTACTCTTAGGACATCCTACTACTCTACTACTATAAGCCAGTTTCTATCCCCTGCCCTCCAAACCTATCTTTAGTCCCTCACTAAAACACTAAAACACTTGTCAAATTCCAAGATATGACAATCAGGCCTATTCCTAAGATCATACCGACTGAGAACCAGAAGGAATTTTGATGACCCAACTCTCTCATTCTTTAGATAATGAACCTGGGGCTCAAAGAAGTTAAGTGACTACTTGAAATGCACAAATCCAGTCACAACTGACTTTGTGCATAATGAAAATTAGTGATATACACAGGCATAGGGAAATACTGAAATTAGATTCATATATTGATTACAATTTTTCAGGACACAGCTGGAATTATACAAGTTTTAAAGCAGACAGAGTGGGAGGTTTCAGAGGGCTCAGGAGAAAACTGGTCCTACATGTGAACCTAAATAATGAAATTGGTACCTTGGAACACACAAGAAAAGGGGGCAATTATCAGTAGGGAGAGACACTTTTCTAGTTTCCGTTTACCAAGAAATGTACTTCATTGCCAATTCTATTTCTAATGATAAAATTTTACTGAGTAGGGAGAAAAGTGCTATTTAAAGGATTAAGAGTAAATATGAGTTACAAACCTTGTGATGGGCTTACTCAAGAAATAGCTTTCAAAGTTATACTTAGATTTATAGAAAATGGTTTGGAAGGAGGAAGCATGTCTAACCAAAGGGTTATAATGCCAGGAATAGACTCCCAAGTCAGTTAAAATAAGTAAAAGATTCAGGGTTCTCCAAGGACCCTCACAGATTCTCACACAGCCATTTGAAAAATGAGTGTACAAGTCCTATTTAAACATTTTTACCACTAACTGGCTCTCAATACATATTTTGTCCAAAAGAAGAAAAATATGAAAGAAATAAAAAATGGAATTAACAAACCAATAAAACTGTCTCCTAAACAGAAGTCGATAGGCTAAATGACAAACATATAGGAATGTAAAAGCCAATTTACAGACATTTTAATATATTAATCATTAAATCAGAAAACAAATTTAGTGTCAAAGGGAAGGAAGGGTAAATGATACCTTCCCATGATATACCACTACCTACACTCTCCCAGAGGCAATTTCTTACAGACCCTCCAGAGCCCAGCACAGCAGTCTGCACCGGGTAGGCACTCTCACATATGCGGACTGACGGAATAAATGGCTGCAAGTGGAACAACTGGGGAATTCTGTCAACCCAAATCAACTTTCGAGGGGTATAGTAGCATCTGCCAAAAATCAAAAAAATGTTGCAGGGTAAGATCCTCTTGGTGAGAGCCTATCTTATTCAAACATGAATTCAAAAACAAGATGTAGGTCTCGTACACAGTGGAACACTTCTTTTGCTGTGAATCTTTCATACTCCACCCTAGAAAGGTATCAAATGCCAGAATAAATGTTTTAATGGCCAGAATTTATGGACCAGTCTATTGCTTAGCACTTGTTATTCTAACCCACATCATACCTAGTTCTGTCAAATTCTAACAGTTTGTCTTTATGCTTAATAGCCTTCTCCAGACCAGACTTAATTCGCAATTCTTGATGAGGAAGAAGGTCCTTGGTAGAGATGTCCACTTTTCCAGAACTCTCCGTCCCTGAAATTCAATAAGGAAACCAAATGGTGTCAGCCTATAATATAGTTTTTTCACTGGGCAGTGAAGAACACAGTAACAGAAGATCTGGCTCTGCTCCAGATGGCTGACAGTTTTCACTTCAATGAAAAACAAATACACAGGCCAAGCTTTACTTATCAAGCATGAAGCATTGCTTGACACAGAATTGGTTCTCAGTATACAGTAGGATCTATTTCTTCCCATATGGAAATTTGGATCACTAAGGGTACCAAACTGTTAAACAATAGAAAAATGCATTATAAATGAAAAGCTTTATTGAGGGGTGCCTGGGTGGCTCAGTCGTTAAGCGTCTGCCTTCAGCTCAGGTCATGATCCCAGGGTGCTGGGATCAAGCCCTGTGTTGGGCTCCCTGCTCCATGGGAAGCCTGCTTCTCCCTCTCCCACTTCCCCTGCTTGTATTCCCTCTCTCACTGTCTCTCTCTTTGTCAAATAAATAAAATCTTAAAAAAAAAAAGAAAGAAAAGAAAAGCTTTATTGAATAGGGCTGACTATGGCCTTTAAACATACTTTCACATAGCAAAACTAAAAAATAATGGAAGAAAAAAGAGTAGAAATTGCAGGAAAGGGACAGAAATGAATACTGAAAACTTACTAGATGCTAAGGCACTTAATATATTACATTATTTAATTCTCCCAATAACTGTGTAAGACAGTTTCTTTTTCTGTAAAGAAGTTCAGAGACAATAATAAACTTATTGAGTCACTCAGGTAGAAATTAGAAGATGGAAACAAAATTTAAATTTAGGTCTAACGAGCCCACATTCATTCCTTGGACCATGTGTCATCTCCTGTGTGACAGCAAACCAAAAACCTATATATCCCAGAAAAGAGAGTCATAAATTATGAAAAAACAAAGACCCAAGATGTGTTAGGAAAACAAGGCTATACTGAAGGCTAACCTTTCTCTTTATTCAAACTCCAGGCCTGTTCAAAGTCCTGTCAAAACTCTTTTAAGGGGTGCCTGGGTGGCTCAGTCGTTAAGTGTCTGCCTTTGGCTTAGGTCATGATCCCAGGGTCCTGGGATCAAGCCCCGTATCGGGCTCCCTGCTCTGAGGGAAGCCTGCTTCTCCCTCCCCCACTCCGCCTGCTTGTGTTCCCTCTCTCACTGTGTCTCTCTCTGTCAAATAAATAAATAAATAAAATCCTTAAAAAAAAAAAAAAGCCTCGGGGCGCCTGGGTGGCTCAGTTGGTTAAGCAACTGCCTTCGGGTCAGGTCATGATCCTGGAGTCCCGGGATCGAGTCCCGCATCGGGCTCCCTGCTCAGCAGGGAGTCTGCTTCTCCCTCTGACCCTCCTCCCTCTCATGCTCTCTTTCTCTCATTCTCTCTCTCTCAAATAAATAAATAAAATCTTTGGGAAAAAAAAAAAAAGCCTCTCTTTTAAGATCAGAGAGAGAGATTCTTGTGTTCTGAATATAAGAAAAACCCTTAGAACTAACTTTTCTTATAATAATGATCTTAAATCCTAACTGAAAAGATAGGGAGACATGTTCAACTTCTTCAATAAAAAATTTTTTTTAAAGATTTTATTTATTCATTTGAGAGAGAGACACACACAGAGAGCACATGCAAGGGAAGAGGGAGAGGGAGAGGGAGAAGCAGGCTCTCAGCTGAGCCGGGAACCCGACATGGGGCTCAATCCCAGGACCCGGAGATCATGATCTGAGCAGAAGGCCGACGCCCAACCATCTGAGCCACCCAGGTGCCCCTTCAATAAAAAAATTTTTAAGTATAGAGATAAAAATATTTGAAATGTCAAAATTCAAGTGACAGGTTTTAGTCACTATCCTGTTACAGATTGGTATATTTTGGTAAAGTAATATGGCAAATACATTTTCAGTGTCAAAAATGATCATATTAAAGACAAATACCATATGATTTCACTTATATGTGGAATCTAAAAAACAAAACAAACAAAAGCAGAAACTGACCCATAGATACAGAGAAAAAACTGGTGGTTGCCGGGGGGGTGGTGGAAAGGGGGAGATGGGCAAAAAGGGATGAAGGGGAGTGGGGAGGTAACGGCTTCCACTTACGTAATGATTAAGTCACAGGGATAAAAGGTACAGCACAGGGAATATAGTCAATGGTATTTTTTTAATTCTTTTTTTTTTTAAGATTCTATTTATTTATTTGACAGAGAGAGAGCACGAGTGGGGTGAGGGGCAGATGAAGAAGGAGACTCCCGCCGAGCAGGGAGCCCAATGCAGAACTCGATCCTGGAACTCTGGGATCATGACCTGAGCTGAAGGCACACGCCCAACCGACTAAGCTACCCAGGCACCCCTAGTCAATGGTATTTTAATAGCATCATATGGTGATGGATGGTAGTAACTACACTTGTGGTGAGCACCTCACAACATACACAATTGTCAATCACTATGTTGTACACCTGAAACTAATATTAAATTGTATGTCAATTACACTTCAATTTTTTAAATCATATTGTTAAAAGAATAAAAATAAATTTAAAAATCCTTTTTTTTTTTTTAAGATTTTATTTATTT